ATTTGAGCTGGGGTCATGTGAGAGGTCAATCTCAGATTACGATCAGTGAGGAGCTTGATGGAGATTCCATGGTTGTCTCGGCTATCCCTGAGATACAGTCATCCTAACCACTCGTTATCTATGACAAGTCTCTCAATTATTCCACTGTTTTAGTAGACATTGTTGCATTTCCTGTCCATGAATATTACATAATTCCGACCAGTAGGAAACAGTTTTGGTAAATCATGAGGCAAATTGCTTAAGTCACCTAGACAAACATTTAGTCCCAGAAATAAAGTTAATTATTTAAAAACATACATCCACAAAATATAAAAGTGAAATCCAAATGGAGCCAAGAGCAATACTTAATTTCAGGGCAATCTAGACTTGCCAAATCAGTCTTCTTCAATGGATTCTTCTCTTTTTAAAAAATTATACCCTAGGGCCTGGGCCCTGTGAAGACGCTGGGGTAGAATAGGTCTTCAGAAACCCATGCTTGCCGTAAAAGGTGACTATGCTTGTCGTATGCTAACAGGATTGGATGGTCAGGCTCACTGACTTGGTTGATGCATGTCATCGATCCCAATTGCCTGGATCGATGCTCATGACATTAATTACTGGATTGTCTGGCCCCGGACTCGATTATTTACAGACCGCCGTCATATAGCTGGAATACTGCTGAGTGCGGCGTTAAACAACAAACAAACCAACCCACCAACCAAGGCTATAGGGTTCTGTGAGACAGGCTATAGTTACACAATTGGACCAAGTGCAGACAAAACATAAACATCTGGCTTTCCTCCAGAAATAACTAATTGTATAGCATATGAGGATATTGATTGGATTGCTTCTTTAAGCGTTATGTCATTCAAATCAGACTCAACTCAAAACCAACGTAGTGAATGGGTCCAGGCTATTTATCATAGATGTGAGAAATAATTCACTGGACAATCGAAGACAGTTCTCGAGGTGACGAGACTCTTTGTTAAGCCTTTTCCTCCACTATCCTGTCACTACACTGACCCAAGCCTCCATCTTGTATTCATGTAAATGATAACGTTGGTGTTACAACTATTTTTAAATACTTCACAAGAACCCAGACATCTGTGACAAAGATGCATTGGCCTGTCTGACCATGCATCATGTAGATGGTTAATTATTCCATGGATACAGGAGGACAAATTGGTTCATTACAGGCCTGAGTGCTGTCAGTAACATGGTTGTCCAACTGGTTAATCTTATTTTGTCGTTAATGTTAGTGTGTTTGGGGATAGTTAAAAGTAAATGAGTGAGTGAGTTTGGTTTTATGCCGCTTTTACCAATATTCCAGCAATAACACAGGGGGACACCAGAAATGGGCTTCACACATTGTACCCATGTTGGGAATCAATTCAGGTCTTTGGCGTGACGAGCGATCGCTTTAACCACTAGGCTACCCGACCATCACAGTTAAAAGTAAAGACAAGTGGAATTTGTTGTGGGTTCCGCAATACAAACTTACACTAAGTACACATCTTCTATCAGGTGTCTGAACTAAACTACCAATAACATGTGCAAGTAAGAATACATACGTTTGATTGTGGCTGGGAATACAGTAAACTACGGTTATAACGAACTCAAAGGGACTACTAATTCTAGTTTGTTATAACCGTTGTTTGTTATAAGCATATATACAGCAGATAGTCGGGACCAAAAAGTAAGTTTGTTATATCCGTCAGTTCGTTATAAGCGTGTTTGTTATAACCGTGGTTTACTGTATGTGTATTGATTGTTGCATTGGCGCATGGCTGCAGGATCTTTGTTTTGATGGTTCTAGTACTTGTTGAATTATTGGTATAACAATTACGATTAAAAACAGTGGTAGTTATGTCAGTATAGAGAAATGTCAAATGTGAGTGTGAGTGAGTTGGGTTAAACGCTGCTTTTAACAGTATTCCAGTTATATCACGACGTGTCAGCTTAATGTGGGAGGAAAGCCATTAGTGATGCAGGTCTCAGACATTTACCACTTCGGTGAAATCCACGAGCATGGGTATGGTGCTGACTAATCTAGAAACATAATCGGGGCGAACCAGGATTCGAACACACAATCATAGATTTCTGGAATGCCCAAGGGACGCAACTCTGCACAGTGAATCATGGCGCCTTAGATGACTGGGCCACCCGTGCCCCCCCGAGAAATGTCAAGTGAGATAAGTGTTGTTGATGCAGCTCGGCCATTATTCCATCGATACAAGATGCCAAATTGGTTCATTATCGGCCTGAGCGCTGTCATTAACATAGTTGTCCACTGTGTATCGTTAGGGAAGCACCATTATATCCTGTACCTAATGGATCAGCCGGTGTCAATTGTGAAATTTGGTACATTACTTTACGCACACACGCAAGCTGAAAAGATTACATTGGGTAATTATGCACAGTGTTTTAATGCTCATATTTTCTTGTTCTTTTCAAGTGTATTTGTACACAAACAATTAAAAATTAACTGGGTTAAGGTGATTTAGCATATTTGACACAAATAAGCAGTTTATCTGAAGCTCTGTTAAATCCGAGTCACCTTTGGTCCCAGACAGAATATAGTGCCTTACAAAGGACGGTAGTATAACATGCCCAGGAAGTCAACAGTCATATTAATAATACAAAGGATTTATCCGAAACACAAGCAGACAAATCTATAAATTGTAATCAATTTAAGTATCCCTGTCATGAAATTCAAAACCTTGATATTCAGTCAAAATTCATTTGTCATTTGATCTGGTAATTGTTCAACTATGCATGGCCTCTCCCAAATCCCAATGATGAGGTTTGCAATTGAGGACAAAAACGGGTGACGCAAAAAATATCCTTCACAAACAACATCAAAGCAATGTTGATAAATGAAATGGAGTTGGTGACCAGGGAAGCCAGACATTATTCATTAACTGTCAGAGTATTTCCATCTCAGGACGTCTAAAACCTTGTCTTTACTGCTTGTCAACACAACACTAGATGTTTGCCTATTCCATTGACATTAAGTGAGTGAGTGAGTGAGTGAGTTGGGTTTTACGCCGCTTTTAACAGTATTCCAGTTATATCGCGGCGTGTCAGCTTAATGTGGGAGGAAAGCCCGAAGTGATGCAGGTCTCAGACGTTTACCACTTCGGTGAAACCCACAGGCACGGGTATGGTGCTGACAAACCTAGAAACATAATCGGGGCGAACCGGGATTCGAACCCGCAATCATAGGTTTCTGACGTGCCCAAGGGACGCAACTCTGCACAGTGAATCGCGGCGCCTTAGACGACTGGGCCACCCGTGCCCCCCCCCATTGACATTAAGGGTGTGAGGTATTACCAGTATATCGGTAAATTGAGGTTAATTCTTTCCACGATACGCATCACAATATCATTTTTTCATGTTCGATATATTGGATGATTTCAAATTGGCATTTTTATCATGTGTTTAATGTTATATTCTTGCCAAATGCCTTCGCTGCTCAGGAGCGAGGGTCCTGACTCTCAAGATGGCTGCATATTTATTGAATGAGTAAACATCATGTTGTACCAGCATCTTGTTTTGTTCGTTTTATGAAATTCAGTTCATACCTTAATGTATCAGATTGCTTCTGAATTAAACATTTAGTATCATACAATATATGGTGATACGTATTGCAATATGGCCATGTGCTTTGCAAAGAATTGTGATATACTTTAAACCTCCAATACCCATACCTAGTTGACACACCGTGTTGCTACTGTGAGTGAGTGAGTGAGTGAGTGAGTGAGTGAGTGAGTGAGTGAGTAAGGTTTTACGCCGCTTTTAGCAATATTCCAGCAATATCATGGTGGGGGACACCAGAAATGGGCTTCACACATTGTACCCATGTCGGGAATCGAACCCGGGTCTTCAGCGTGACAAGCGAACGCTTAAACCACTAGGCTACCTGACCGCCCCTGCTGCTACCGTGATTTGTCTGGTGTAGGGCATGAGGTGCACTTCACAATATAAGCTGGGTTTTTTAGAAATATAATAAATTCACCGTCCCAAAATAAGAGATTAAACATATAGTTTGGTGCTAATGCCATCATAGGCACTGTTCTATTAGATACTTCGTCTCTGAATCAGTATAGAAGTTTGAAGATGAATCCTTCCTTCTACTTCAAGTGTTTGAGTTTCACGCTACTTGTAGCATTATCACTGCAATATCCCAGCAGACACTAGAGATGGGATCCACACATTGTACCTATGTAGGATTTGAACCCAATTCTTTTTGCATGGTAAGCAAGATTCCCATAATGCTACCCCAAGCAGCATGGAGAGAATCTGGTTCCAAGAAGAGGACTATCCACTGTAGCCAATGGGTGTGTTTGTTGCTTAACGGCACACTCAGCAATATTCCAGCTATATGACAGCAGCCAGTAAATTATCAAATCTGGACCAGGCAATCCAGTGATTGATATCATGAACATCTATCCACACAATTGGGTGAGTGAGTATGGTTTTACGCCGCACTCAAGATCTTCATACATATAATTGTGCATTTCCTGAGAACAGCCATGATAAAATCTCAAATTTCACCAATTGTGAAACAGTCATAAAAAAAACAATTAGCAAATGTTATCAATTTTTGGCTAAGTCCAGAGTTTTGTTTATTTGTGGGTCTTGTAAAGTGACATAAAAAAACATAAGGCCATATCTTTCTCGGCACATCACTCACTGAGTAAATGTTGTTTGATCTGGGGTAATTAATCTAGTGCAAGCTAACTAGTGGTTGACAGCATGAGTAACAATTCACAATATTGTGGCATGATAACACACAATCAGCCCGATAATTAGGACCGGCCAATCATCATGTCGTATTTTAGAATAAGTATGGAGCACATGTGACCTATTCTGAACTGGAATCACTTTTTCTAATCATGATTAAGCAAGATGGCTGAACTTCTCATTCTAATTTCAGTTTACAGTTTACAGCATTCTCATTCTAGTTTGGGTTAAGAAAACAATCCGCCTGAAGGCAGGGATACAAAGTTTGAACTTACTCCAGGGTGATGGTGAAGTGGTTCCTCCTCTTCAAGGATGGAAAGGACAAGAATGAACCCTTGCTGAAGCTCCGCTTTGTGAGACGGCAGAACTGGTCATAGTCGCCCGTGGAGGGGCATCCGTCGCACCTGAAGCCCCCTTTGATGAGGGGCACACATCGGGACGGAGGCTGACACAGGTTAGGGGGACATGTGTCCGGGTCAAACCTTGCAGTCTGGTTCACTTCACAGTTGGACCCTGGGATAGATGACGGAAGTGATGCTCATGATGTTTGTTTGTTTATAACATTTGTTGTTTAACGCCGCACTCAGCAATATTCCAGCTATATGACAGAGGTCTGTAAATAATCAAGTCTTGACCAGACAATCCAGTGATTGACATCATGAGCACCAATCCACGCAAATGGGATACGATAACATGCATCAACCAAGTCAGCGATCATGACCACCCGATCCTGTTAGGCGCCGCTTACGACAAGCATAGTCGCCTTTCACAGCAAGCATGGGTTGCTGAAGACCTTTTCTAACCAAGGATCATCACAGGTAGATGTTCATGACATACTTATATTACAACATATGGCAGTATTACCCCAATAACAACTTGTGTTTTTCCCTTCCTCATTTATATGAGAATCTATTAACCATCATATATTACTTGCAAGCTGTTAAGCATATCCTCCAGGCAAGAGGAAATGTCTTACTTATAATAGCATGCGCAAATTCTTTCTTATTACTGACGAGACTGCTGAGGAAAACAATTACAATTTCCCAGCTATTTGACAAAGTGACACTCAACTCAAACCACAATGCAAGAAGCCCTTTCTTTCCCCTGACACCTCATTCAGATAAGCAGCACACTTCCCAATCCCTCCCTGATAGTTCAGGTGTATCAATCTACCTGTAAACGACTCTGTGCACACACAGGTGTACCCTCCTTCCCGAGGGAGGCACTTCCCCCTATTCAGACAAGGCTTGGAGTAACACAGATCCACCTCCACATCACACAAGTTGGACTTCCTCTGACCTGAAATACACAATCATCAACATGACCATTTCGCAAGGAAAACAGAGGTGAGTATCATTCTTCATTGACAAAAACAAACTAAATGAAAAAAACATGCTCAAAACAATTATGAGAATTCTATAAAAATTACACAAGAACTAGCAGTATGCATTAGTGAAAGGTATTGTCCTGACTTTTGTATTGCAATAATGATTCCTGTATTGCGATACGTATAACGATATATGGCACGTGTTCTTTCATCTGTAATTATTATGAATCTGAATAAACATAAGATATTTTGATGATCGATGTTATCTTTGATTTTCTGATCAATTTTGTAAAAGCCTGAAATGGACCCATACAATGGTGTTCCCCATACAGTTGTGACAACTTTGAAGTTGTCTGCCATTTTTTACGTTGCTATGGTCACCACTCATGCACAATAGACACATAATATACATGAAACTGGTCACAGTTAGTTTCCCTTTTCGATAACAGGAATCAGTTGCTAAGTTCTGAATTTCAGTTCGACTTGTATCTTATTACCCAGAAGATAAAAATATGCATGATATGAAAAACGGAATACATCGATATTTTCAAAACATATTGTGGTACATATTCATTGGTATTTCGTAATGTGGTATCCCGGTAATACCGGGCACCTCTAGTAGCTATTGAAACAGTAAATGCCTTCAAACAGTCATCAGAATTAAATGAATAAATGAATATTGCACAGAACCATTATCTGTTATTTATTTACAGAAACCCCACCGGATTTGAACCCTGTTGGTGTGCAGTGCCCCCTACCTGTGAAGCCGATAGGACACACACATCTGTAGCCGTTTTCGGGATGGATGGACCGGAACAACATGGTGTCAGACTTGATGAAATCCGCGGCCAAGTCAAACACCAGCTTCGTCTGACAAACTTCGAAGTTGTAGCACATCTCTCTCATGCAGAGGTTGTCGTCAAACGGAAGCACCTATCAAAACAACATTTGCTGGAGCTGTTGTTCTTGTTAAACGTCTAATGACGTGATCAATGAAACCAGCACGTTCACTGACATTTAAGTTTCAAATCAGGAATTTCTATACCCAATTACATGACTACCTTATGCAACATGTCTAATTTTTGTTTTTACATGATCTGTCACCTAAAAATTGAGTATTATTGAACCGCTTTGCTGAAGGACACCACTCCCGTGTCAGTGACAACAAGCATGTCGTGACGGCGGTAATTTCTCTCTAAGAAGCGATGGAGCAATGAGTGAGTTGTTTTACATCAGCAAGCATCATTACTGCAGCTTGCAAATATTCAAGACAAGGCCAGTCAAGCAGGGCTACAGAAAATTTGTCAGCCACTTACAATTTTCTCACAAGTTAACATTCACATTGGGCACAGATAGTTTCCTTTGGAAATAATATATTTTCGTTTCCTTTGGTTAAATCAATATTAAAACAAAAATGTTCAGCTTAAGATGTTGTTTCAGGTGACTCCTAATTTGTATCGGTTTGTGTGCTGTGTAACGTATTGCATAAACTCACAACAGCGATAGGCATGTCTAATAACAATAAGCAAGATGTAACACCCTTATTTAACATTATTGACTGCAGTAGAGTTCATGTATATGATACATGCATTCGATCAGTAAATGAAGATCTATACCGATTTACAGGAACGTTATTTGAAAAGGTTACACTGTTCTTTCTATTGGGTCTTGAATTTTTATTAGGCATATTTGTAACATGCAATTAATTAGGTGATTGTGATTATTTTATGCAAATACACAGCTCATCTGGGCTCAAGTCAAGTCCTGCATGTAATAGGGTCTTCGTCTGTCTTTAACATCTTTGGGACAACATGAACAATGCACAAAGTGTCAATGAACATGAATACACTGGTCCAGAAATTATTATTGTTTGTTTGTTGTTTAACATTGCACTAAGGACTATTCCAGCTAAATGACGTCGACCTGTAAATAATCAAGTCTGCGCCAGACAATCCAGTGATTAATATTGTGAACAATGATTCATGCCATCGTGCTTCAATGACACACAACCAACCAAGTCACCGAGTCTGACAACCCATAGTCCCCTCTAAAGACGCAAATTCCCAGAAATAAACCAGAATTCCCACAGGGGAATCATTAAAAAGTGTCGAGGAACACGAATCACAGCTCCAGATTTTGTATCCTAAGTATCTCAATCAGCCAGGGTCCCATTCCAAAAAGTGACAGTAGCGTTAATGTGATCGTAACTCTCATACTCATGACCGTCATAATGCTAGCTTTGTGGGACCAGGCCATGTCATACATTGTTATCAATCCTCATTAGTCGGCTCTTGAACCAAGAAGTGAGAACTGGGAAATCCCCAGGGGAGATAATCATGACTGAGTGCCTTTCAGTGTTCAAAATTAAAGGGGGTTGGGGTCCTTGAGGTTTGCTGTTAAAGTCACTTACCCTCAGGTTTCCTTTATCTTTGAGTGAGTTGGGTTCAACTTTTTTAACAGTATTTCAGTTATCGTATAGAAACATACTGAACAGGATTATGACTCCCTGACTTAATGCTGAGTGAGTGAGTGAGTAAGTATGGTTTAATGCCGCTTTTAGCAATATTCCAGCAATATCACGGCGGGGGACACCAGAAATGGGCTTAACACATTGTACCCATGTCGGGAATCGAACCCGGGTCTTCGGCGTGACGAGCGACTGCTTTAACCACTAGGCTACCCGACCGCCCCTTAATGCTGAGTGCTGCTATTGCTTACCTGTAGGGTAGATAGGTTGGCCAGCATGGAACGTTGCAGGTAGATGTTCTCCTGGACAAACTCTGGGGGATAGAACACATCCTTGCTTCCTCCCCGAACATTCACCTCATCCTTCTGTACCGACACCGTGACATTGAGGACCTGTCCCGGTACGTCGATGTCGTCCTCCACGTTGATGACGAAGATCTTTGTATCCTCAACATGCAAGATGGAGGCTAGGGCATCCACGAAGAACTTGAAGAGCGGAGACAGGAAGGCCTGCTCCGTCATCCGGTCCAGTCGGATTGTGATGCTGTTGAGGAGCATGTCCTCCGTCACAAGGCGCACAAATAGCTTGCAGCCGGCCTTCACCTCGTTCAGGCCATCTGGAAACAGGAAACAGTGGACGTTACAAGTAATTCACAAGAAAACACAAAGTATAGTAAGTGTTTTGTTTGTTTGCTTGATGTTTAATGCCACACTCAGCAATATTCCAGCTATATGACAGCGGACTGTAAATAATCGAGTTTGGCCCAGACAATCCAGTGATAGACATCATGAGCATCGATCCCCGATACGGTTAGTCACCTCTTACGACAAGCTTAATCGGCTTTTACAGCATTCATGGGTATCTGAAGACCTATTCTTCCCCGGATCTTCACTGGTTGTATAGAGTGAGTGAGTGAGTGAGTGAGTGAGTGAGTGAGTGAGTGAGTGAGTGAGTGAGTGAGTGAGTGAGTGAGTGAGTGAGTGAGTGAGTGAGTGAGTGAGTGAGTGAGTGAGTATGGTTTTACTCTGCAATATTCCAGCAATATCAGAATAGCGGAACCACAATTTGTCAAATGGATCAACATTCTTCAGCTATGATGTAGTTTCTTGTGTGACATCATTCCAACCTCATGTCACAATAAGACTGGAATGAAGTCAACAATGCCGTCCAAAAGACGGAAACAATGCACTCTTGTCTTGTGACGTGATATGACCCATATGATTTTTATGAACCCCGATATGTTTGCCCCCTTCGTTAATACTCCCTTGAGAAATCTACAATTTGGTCCAAAATGACTGCTTTCTAATGCACTGTGACAGACAGTGGCTGTAAACAGGACAGGGCTGTGCCATGGAAGAACTAAGACAAGGGTATTGTATTACTTGATTATCAAATATAGTCTGCGATTTTCATAGGACCTGATAGTAACGACAGTCATATGATACAAAGTCAAAACAAATCAAAGAAATCCTGCCAACCATAAACTCCTCGTCAATATCTTTTTATGACTTTACGATGAAGGAACCTGAACCGCCTACACAGCATCTTTATTGTGCTCTAAGTCCCGATTTGTATATGTTTGTTTGCACAAAAAAGTCAACAGTGTGGCCCTAAGCTTCATGGTGCGTAGGAGCGAGCAATGGATCAGTCTAGCTGGTGTGGATGGCGAGCAATGGTTCAGTCTAGCTGGTGTGGATGGAGTCGAGAGCTTCCAGCTGTCACTGCTGGCTCACTGTGATGGTGGTGGCTAGCAGACTTCACAATTCAAATATCATGCAGCTGAGAGATTCTGCATCAGGTAACAGGATCACCTACATAGCAATTTATTCTGAACTCACACATTAAATGATTAAGCTAATACAGCGAGTTAGCTCTCCTCACCCTAGATTTGCATGTGTACACAAACTAGAGCAGCAAGTGAAGTATGACTGGGTCTTGTTACACCTGAACCTGGGAAAAATCTAGACTTGCTTCATTTAGGGCTTTTCCATTACACAAAGGGCTGTGTGCAGAAGGGAAATAATATTGTTCAGAGACTGTGAAACAGACGAGGGTCTTGTGGGAGGAGGAGAATAATATACCATACTCTACCATGACACTGAAGCATGATCTAATTTGATTGGCTAAGTTTACTAAAACTAAAGTGGTTAATGAGCGATAACAACTTCGGACCGCATCACTGCACTAAATACATGCCTAAGAAAAAGAGCCTGTTATAAAAATTGCATTCAGTCATGGTACAATTGAGATAAACCTATTTTGTTTTTCAATTTTGAGGTAGTTCATCGTTGATGGTTCATCATTGAGGGTTTATAATTGATTGTACAACACTAACTGTTTCAACGATGAACCACCTCCGAATTCATAAATACATTTATTTCCTAATTCACCATATTCTGCGCCCTGTTCTAATAAACATCCCTGACCAATTTCTACACCAATTGGTTAGTAATTTGCCCCATACCAACCTTTAACGTTTACATGACAGTCTGTATTTTCTTGTGCCTACTACAAACGTTTTACAGAAAATAAAGCAGTTTATAAGGGGTATATAATTGACAGGTACAAAAAAACATTTTAGTTTCATTGACATTTGGTCAAGTTTGTTCTCCACCTCTTGATCTCTGATAAAATAGCTAACTGTTGCGTAGGACTTAAGTTTTACTCCACTTTTAACAATATTTCAGCAGCGGGGGAAGACACCGAAACGGGCTTCATACATTGTACCCATGTGGGGGATCAAACCCAGTCCTCAGACAAGGCGATCAAACGCTTAAACCAAAAGGCAACATCGCCCCCAGAGATAAGATAAGATAAGATACTTATTGCATGACATTCCATTAGAGTGGCAATAATCAACAAACAACAAAATAAAGTCATTGTCAATATATGACATAGTATTTCTCCCAGACGATGAATCAATATCGCAGCAAAACCTATTCAAACCCTGACCAAAGTCTCTTGTCTAAACAGTTACACTATTATAGACCAATATAACCGCCATCTTCACCAGAAAATTGTGAAATAAGGGGCAAATATCAGAAGATCTTTAATTTAGCTGGGTAACTGTTATCTGAGTCAATAAACCGATAGTATCTATGATGGAAGCTACCTCATAACTCATCGCCTGTGCAAACACTCATCCACAACACTAGTGTTTCTACATTGCGACTAAGGTATTTGTCTGTAATAAAATCCACAGCAACTGTTTCAATGCCTGGCAGTTTTTAATCTTTTACAGCTTTTGTTGTGCCGGAGTAACAAAATACCTGAGGCATGCAAGCATTGAAGACCCCTGCAGCAAAAAAAACCCTTTGCACTGTAATTTATCTTGAAGAAAGTAGCATCTTTAGGATATACGTATATAGGAACTAGAGTCATGACTGTTTTCATTTGGGAAACAGAGTTAATTTTTTAGATCAAATGTCAAGATGACCTACTGCCTCCATTCGTATTCCTGCAGATACGAACTACTCAAAACTTGATGGGGACATTCTGAGAGGGGGACCAGAGTGTGATTGGCTGCTGGTGGATGGTGTCATACAAATTGTATCCCATATTGCCATGGACTGGATCATGTTCAGTTTCATTTAGAGTTAATAAAAGTAAGTATACAATTGAATTAGGTTATGAAACTTGGGTTTCATTTGTACGATATACATTGTTTAGTTATGGTTTTGGTAATTTAAGGTTGAGGCAAGATGTCGGAGACTGTGATGTTTTTATTTATACATTTAAGGAAAGAACAAGAGATTTGTTACACATTTTTCTACTACTCATACTTTGGATGCCATTTAAAAATGTAAATTAAAAAAGGGTTTAATTACAAGTCATTTTGTGATCAAAATGGGAACGGAGTTCTAAAGAATTTTAACAAACGATTTGTGACAATTAAATTTTTTGGACTTGGACTTTTAAAAAATCAGTATAGGGGAACTATTGTCTGTTTTTTCCTTTTAAAGCTGCAGACAAGGAGCCGCTGAGTTACGAATGTCTGCATGGACAAGCTCCCCCAGGGAGGACACAATCGACAACCTTGTCACACTCTTCCTCAATGTTGACACTGAATACGCAGACTATTATGTGCAGTATTTACAACATAGTCAATTCTGTGCCTCCAAAACATCGTAAGCAGTCACGCACTGACAACAGCACACAGCCCACATACTATCTTTTCATCCATGCTGAAGAACGCCTATCACAGCCTACGAAGCAAGGCCTAGGGCTGGATTTGTGTCTGCCATTGTCCGAGTGAGTGATGGAACAAGCTGGATATAATGGCCTGATTACCTGCATATGTAGACCTAGGGGTGTAGGAGAGGGGTGTTTACGTTCTTTTATTCCACCCCTGTAGGGACCTGAATGGTATTTATCCTACACCGATTTATTGCTCCACCCTTGCCCTCCCCCTTTAAACTCCATCTTTTCTGTCTTGGAATAATTCACTTAGCGTCTGACCTATATAGCATCCTTTACACATCATGTGACCGTAATGTTATACTGAAAGTCGTTTAAAGTTTGAAGATGGATTAATGGCCTTCATTGCACTTGGTAACTTTTGTGGCTCTCATGCATTCATTATTTTCATAAGGTCATTTTTCTTAAATATCGCCTTATATCATTTTGTGTTTGTTCCAAGGGATCACCCATCTTGCTATAGAATGATCCGTTTAGCAATTTAAGACCCACTATGTGGAAAATATTCAGTGACAGTTTGGCCCTTGTTTTGATGTGGACGCTTTCTGATGTGGAGTGAGTGAGTGAGTGAGTGAGTGAGTGAGTGAGTGAGTGAGTGAGTGAGTGAGTGAGTCTTACGTTGCTTTTAGCAGTGTTCGAGCAATGTTCGAGCAATAACAGCAGCAACACCACCATATAAATGGATTTGACTTTTGTTGTAACAATGATTTGAGCAGCATTTTCACAGGGTAGATAGGAAACCAAAGTGATGCAGGTCTTAGATGTTTACCACTTTCGTGAAACGAAGAAACCTGATGAGGGTGATTCTGAGATTGTGTTTCAGACACACTCAAGGGATGCAACTCTTTACAGTGAATGTCAGCCCTCTGATGACTCGGACCCCTGTTGCCCCTGTCCATATTGAGAATCAAAACCATTTTACAGTATGACAAGCAAAGTCTTTAAAGACATGGCTACTGCAGACTCTTTTTGCAAGAAGTTTATTTTGTTTGAAACTTCCCAATCTTTAGAAGCAGCCATTATAACATACAGAAGTGAAACTGACTTGATGTTTGAAACTGGCCAATCTTAAGAAGCAGCCATTATAATATACAGCAGCGACATTGACTTGATGTTTGAAACTGGCCAATCTTAAGAAGCGGCCATTATAATATACAGCAGTGAAATTGACTTGATGTTTGAAACTGGCCAATCTTAAAAAGCAGCCATTATAATATACAGCAGTGAAACTGACTTGATGCTTCAATTATTTTGATAATACTTGATCAGACTTATGAACAATATTTATATTTAGGAAAAGCCAACCTGACCATGCTGACAGGAAGTAAAGTTTCAATCAACTGTGACCCCTGCCCTCTGTTTGAGACACTCAACCCTTACAAGACACCTCCCTCCCCTTTCTTTCACAGCATACCAGCC